CCCTCCTTCCTTCCCTCCTTTCTTCTCTCCTTCTCTTCTTCCTCCCCTCCTTCCTTCCCTCCTTCCTTCTCTCCTTTAAGTTTTTACTTTAAAACAATTCAGTTCTTCCTCTTATCTCTCAAGGAATAAGGATCATGATTCTTTGGGGACAAATATATCTAGAGGAGAGGTCCCTCAAAGCCTTTTATCTCAGAATAAGCCTTTCCCAAGGTGTTATCTTCCCAAAAGTTTGGATTATAGCAATCGTTATTCACAGACATCGTGACTAACACATTATAAACGGAAATATCTAGAGAGGACCACATAAGAAAGGGTGCGTGTCACAGCTGCTTTGATTCATTCACCTTATGGAAATGATACAGACAACTAAACAATACATTAGAATTCTTAACAAGTAAAACTGGGATGTTGTTTGGGAAATTGCTTCTCTTTCTACAAAAATAATAAAAGTATGGCATCTTACCTTTGGGCTGTCAGAGTGCGAGAATCCATACCAGTAGTAGCCTTTCTCTGCCACATCACAAAGGAACAGGTCAAGGTGTATAGATAAAAGTTCCAAGGTAAAAGAGTTTGGGGCTTTATTGACGTAAGAAAGGTGGCATGTTGACGCCTGGCACATTCTAGCCAACTAGTATTGATTTCAACATGACAAGCACTTCCTTGCCTGAAGCCAACCTGGTCAATGTTTAACCTCCGTAAATGCAGAGGTTCGAATACAATTATGAAATGATTGGAATGCATGTGTACCTGGCAACATCATTGTTTAGCGCAAACACCGGTGAACAGGAAGGCAGGGGCAACGAGGAGTGGCTGTTATTGATGATGCTTTCATTTTTGCCAGAAAAATGACTCATGGATTTTGGATTTCATTCCCCCCCACCTAATCACCTTTGGCAGAAAAAAAAACAAGATTTCTACAGACAGGCCAATTTGTAGGCAGCTCTAAGGATAAAACAGAATGCTCCCTTCCAAATATTTATTTATTTTTCCCAATGTTATCAGCTAATGATTTGTTTCTTATCATTCTGATTCATGCCTTAATTGGCAGAGCTAACACTCCATTTGTGCTTTTGCAAAAAACCACTGAATTTTCATTACAAGTAAAAGGTTGGCTCTAGTCTGGCGAGAAGAAGTCGCCCCCTTGTGGAGGTTTCTCAGTATTACAACAGAAGCAGCATGCTATTAAACCAAAGAACCAGATGGGTTTCAGAAGGGCATATTTAATATTTTAATGCTTTTGGGGCTATGAATAGCAATAGCAATAGCAGTTAGACTTATATACTGCTTCATAGGGCTTTCAGCCCTCTCTAAGTGGTTTACAGAGTCAGCATATCGCCCCCA